TAGCCCATCTTTGCTCCTTATTATAAAAATATTTCTTTTCTTCTTTATAGTTATCTAATACTTGGGAGAGTTTATGTGTGTAAATGTCAAATGGTTGAATATTATCATCAGTATTTTCGTTGCTCTTAACTTTTAATCCTTTTAAGTTTTTGTCATAAAAGAACTGAAAAATGTAGCATCAGCACCAAATTTTGAGTTATACAAAGCAGTTAGGATTCCTTGAGATGAAAGTGGATCAAATGAGATTGCACTATCACCAACTGCAATCCACTGGATTTTGATTGATGCTAAACAAAAAAAAAATTTAAAATCATGATGAGATGACGTTCAAATATATATAAATTACAACTATTGTTTACATACTAACCAAATTCTGAAAGTACTTCAGAATTCGCAGCCATACACATAACCCTACTTTTAATTGGTTTATAGTCAAACTCTTTTAAAATTTCATTAATGTTAGATGAGTTCTCTCTCAAGAAATCAACAAATTCATCAACAATCCTTATTTTTTGAGGAAATTGTTTGACTAAATCGTCATCAGTGAAAAAAACAATAATACGTTGATTGTTAGGAAGTCGACTTGTTTGAAACCAGCCATAGCTGCAAGATTCTATCAGAGTGTGATGATCATTGTCCTTCAAACCATTTAAATAAGCAGATTCAAATAGGCAGGCGAAAGCTAATAATTTATCAAATGATTGACGTCTTAGAGATGGGATATATTTTCTAATGCAACAACGGCGACCACTTGCGTCAACTAAAATTTTACCATAAATTTTGTTCTGTGTATCGCATACTATAAAGCATATAAAGCATGAATTAGTGTAAATATTTTTATAAATAAAATACAGCTAAATGTTAATATGTAAATAAATTTGTTACAATCATTGTTCAAACTTGAGCACTTTGAAATTGTCATTTCCCAATATTTTTTATCTTCTGCGAAATCACCTCTAAAATTAAAATGTGAACTGGTAACATTAAATCCATGAATAACTTTGACAACATGCCCATATCGTGTCTATAGTTTTCAATAAAGTTTCCTCAAATAATGAACGATCTAAATGGAATCCATTGCCATATGGATTGAATATGGAATCAGTGCCATTTAGATTATTGGAACCCCATGCAGAGTTGTT